ACCAAAATAAGACATTCCACTTTTAATTTTGGGATCAATTGGTTCATTGTTTCCAGGATCCTTACTACTCCAATATAATGTTTTTGTATAAGGATGTACCCAGAAGAATCTTTTATGTCTTTTTTCTGATATACCAGCACCAAAATTACGTCTAGTGTACTTCCATAGATATTCACCGATCATAGTTTGAGTTATAGCATGAATGATTGTCGGATCTGTTCCTGGTGTGGGACCAACAATCGGACTAGTTCCATTTGTATCCATATAGGAGGCATCGGATCTACGTTTTTGGTCAGATGAAGTTGATGTAGTGCTAACTGTTGATATAGAGTCAGAACTTGGCGATCGTTGATGTAAAGTATTTGGATCATTTACATTATTGTTGTTATTAGAATTTGAATCGTTTTGCTTGGAATTGTCTGAATCTTGCAATGGATGATTTGGTAATTGAGGAGATCCCGCTTGTTGCCCAAAACTTACAGTTAATGGACGTTTTGGTTGATTATTGTTATTTTGTGATTTGTTTGCTGGGGAACTTAAATCCAATGTAAATCGATTTTTATCATTATTATTACCGATCATACTATTAATACTATTAGTACGACTATTGTTACTAGTATTATCATTTAATTGATTTGATTGACGAATACTCGACACGTCACTCTTTGAATTTTCATAAGCCATAGTATCACGTTCACCAAATGTGAATTTTCCTGTGTTGAAGGTACACATCGAGTCAGTTTTAGATGATGTTGATATGGTTGGAACAGGTTCGATTACTTTATCTGTTTGTACTGAAATATCCCTGAATACTTTCTTTGGTAACGGTGGCAATGCTTCTTCAGGAATGATGATTGAATGTTTTTTATTTAATAATGGCGAAATACTTGATTCACGTTTTGAGAATTTTTTAGATTCTCGTCTGGAATTGGTAGAAGCTCTTTTAGAACCAAACTCAATGTCATCGGGTTCGTTGGCGGAAGCAAACGAATCTACTGATGAAACGTCATCGTTATCATCATCAAGATATAATTTCGGATTCTTTTTAATAAAATTAACATTTAGTTCCTCTTCTTCACTTTCTTGTTGCTCCTAAAGGTAAAAATAAAATCTTTCGATTATTAAATCCTGTAAATTATTTCAATTGGTTAATTAATATTTTTCCTCCTTCCAAAAATAAAATAATTATTAGCAATCCTTGGTGTTTATAGAGTAACAGATTGTTTTGGAGACACAGGAGATGATCTGATCATTAAAGCAATGGAATTGGCTGAGAATGATGGAATGGACATAATAAATATGTCACTTGGAGTTTCATTTGATGGTTGGCCTGAAAATCCAAGTGCTGTAGCCGCCTCTAACTTGGTAAAAAAAGGATTTTATGTAATTACTGCTGCTCCTAATGATGGTTTTAGTGGACTTTTTAGTAGTGGATCTCCCGACTCTGGAAAAGATGTTATAACCGTTGGTTCTGTAAATAATTTCAAATTCATTACAAATTACTTGGTGCCAAGTACTCAACCAAAGAAAAAGATTGCTTATTTTACAAGACGTGTGGGATTGAAATTCGACCTTGATGGTCCATTAGAGATTGTCCCAACCAGTGATGCTAAAGATCCAGTAGATGATGCTTGTAATCCAATTGCTAAAAATCTTACTGGAAAATTGGCATTGATAAGACGAGGTGGATGTTTCTTTGACGATAAAATTACAAATGCTCAAACGGCTGGTGCACTAGGTGCCATCTTCTACTTCAATGTAACAGGCCCTTTTAAACCAGCCATTAGTTCATCTAGTGTACCAATTGCAATAATCTCCAAAAATGACGGTGAATATCTAATAAAACAATTCCAACATAGCAAAAAAATCAGACGCAACCAATATTACTACAATCACAATCGACGATTGAGAGTAACATTCCCCAATAAAACGGCTGTTTTCAATGACATAGAAGGTAATAATCCTGTTGATACAAGTTCTTGGGGTCCCACTTTTGAATTAGATATTAAGCCGGAAATAATGGCTCCCGGTGGTAAAATATTCAGCACGTTACCTGTGGAATTTGGTTCCTATGGAACTTTCTCTGGTACATCTGCCGCTGCCGCTTATACCTCAGGTCTTGTCGCTTTATACTTGGAAAATTTTAGAAAAAATCCACACAACAAAATCAATATTGATCCACTCATTTTAAAAAATATTCTGATTTATACTGCGGAACCATATAAATCTTCAAATGATGGAAACCATAAAAATAAAATCGTTCTGCCAGTCACCAAGCAAGGAGGCGGATTAATTAATCTTGAGAGAGCGTTAAATACCAAACTTTATATAACACCAGGAAAATTATCGCTGAATGATACAGTCAGATTCACTGGTACAGCAACAATTAGCTTGACAAATTTCAGTCATAAAACAATGAAAATCACATTGGATCATTTACCAGCCGGATCCGTTAGAGGTTTCTTCAATGATACTATTGTTAATACTGGAGATATGTTGATCAATAAATTTTATGCTAAAGTGACATTTCATAAAAATACAATCAAATTACGTCCAAGAGAAACAAAATCAATCCAAATAAGAATCAAAGAGCCTTCACAATTATTGCCAAGCGAATTTGGATTATATTCAGGATTCATAATCGTCAATGATGAATGTAATCATGAAACTTACAGCGTACCCTATCAGGGATTAAAGGGAAATTTGACTACAATGAATCTAATTTCAAGTAATCCTACGTCACCATTCTTGTTATCACCTGATTTTGATGAATTGTACAACGAGACTGATGAAGCAACCTATACATTCCAAGATGATTATGATCATATACCGAAGGTCTATTTCAGATCCAATCTTGGTACGTCACGTTGGGTCTTGTATGCCGCTGTGGCGAACGAAAATATTTTGGAAACTGTGTTTATCGATACCTATACATCTCGCACTTCAAATAATGAGAATAATGAATATACGAACCGATTCACTGAGTTAAAATGGGATGGGACGGTTGCTGTAAATAATCAAAATAACGTTAGACGTAAGCTACCAAATGGTCGGTATCAGTTAATTCTTGAGGAATTGAGACCTTTTGGCGATGTAAATAATCCAAATCAATATGATCGTTGGCGATCTCCAATAATAGTAATAAATAGAGATATATAATTAAATATTCTTGTTAAATATTCTTATTTGTAAATATTTATTTATATTATACATATTTATTATATTTATAATCATCCATTTATATATTGAATTTTATTTAAACAACATTAATCACGTGAAATAAATAAACAAATAATAA